TTTGATATCCAAAAAGGTTTGGTGAAGAGTCATGTTTTGAGGAAAAATATCTATGGTGATCAAAATTTTCATCACTCATTCTATCGATATTCCTTTACTTTCTACTCTTATTATCGAGTTTTAATCAACCAAAAGTTTATAGAGGTTGATTTTTACCAAGTCAAAAACTTTTCGAAACAAGATGTTGATTATAGAGAATTATAATGATGATAAGAGCATTAGTAGTGAGGGCTAAAGCTTACAAGGTGGCAAAAAATATTTCCTATATGCCTTCCCTTTTTTTATTGGATTTGCTTTTGATTGATAACTCTTCGAGGATAATAGTGACCTTTTAGATGTGTTCCCGGTGATTGCTCTATCCTGCTCTCGCTTTGGTCTAGATTTAACTCTCGATTCAAGAATTGTTTGAGGTAACTCTTAGCAATAAACTTTTATATTGCCCTTTTAAAGCAAAGCAACTCTTTGTGTCATCACCATTCTTTTTGTAGAAGTTTCAATATTTTTTCTAGTTATAAAATTATAAAGGGCCTTTTATCGAGTAGTATTCAAAAGAATAGACTAGAGTTCGAAGAAGACTATGTGATTATGGATTAGTCCTATAGAATTTTTTTCTTGGATTTAAGCAATTTTGTAAAGATCTCTCTCTCTCTCTTTTCTCTTTCTTTGATTTTTGAAATTGAGGATGAGCTTATTGAGCAATCATGGCTTTTTTAGCTCCCTTTTTTTTTTTTTACCGACCAAGGACGAGTATGACCAATTTTATTAAATAGAAAAAAGTATAAGAGGGAGACAATCTAACGATATCTCAATAGGAGGAGGGGACATAGAAGTCTAACTTTTAATAACATCCAAACCATGACAATATTATTTTCTATAAGTGTGTGTGTGTGTGTGTGTGTGTGTGTGTATAACAAGGCATTACAAATTTCTCTAGATAGTTCATCATAACCAATGAAAATGCATACAAATTTGTGTTGATGGGCTAATTTGCTAACTTATCGGTTACTATATTTTGCTCTCTAAAAATATGTGTGAATGTGTAAGAATATGATTTTCTACCACTCTTGGAAGAGGTTACTATCGAGAAGAGCATATAGTTTACTCTATAAAATAGTATAAAAAACACCTATTATAGAAGCTTCTATAACCATATTTTCTAACACTCTATCCATTTTCAACATTTTCTCATGAAAACAAGAAAGATAAGCCTAGGTTCTTTCTCTTTTCTCCTTCTTTCTATATAATGAAGAATAAGTCAATAAAGTTTTTTTCATTGAAGATGTTGGTAAAAAAATGAGTGATAAGCATAGAGTATAGGTTCTTGGAGCTAAACATAGATTCGAGATCTTAGTTACTATACTATATTCTAGCCATTTGTTTGAAAATGTATGGATGAATTTGCGGACGAGGTTAGTATCTTCAAGTACCAATTTGAGAATGCGTTTAATTTTTGTATGTATTCTTGTGAGTCCGTCATGCCATCGTGGGAGTCCATATTTTTTCTTTGTTGAGATGAACTCTCTCGAAAGCTTAGCATTCAAGATATGAGGAGCAAATGAGGAGGCTTGATCTTATGATTGTAGTAGTTTAAATTTAACTAGAAGAGGATGGTTGGTTTTTTGCCATTCGTGAGTTTTAGGTTTAGGGTTTACTAAAGTTGTTTAAGGGTGTGAGCTGTCATGCTAAAGTCCCTTTGGTAATGTCTTATGCTTTTGGGATACTCTAATCTTTTCTCATTCCCCTCTTTCCCTCTCCCGAAGCCTAAACTAATCGATCATTTTTCGAAATCGTGGGAGAAACTTCTTTGAGGGTCGAGGAGTCGTAACGTTTTTTTTCTTTTATCCCTGGTCGTATCTCACCTCCTTACTTCATCCTCAAATTTTTTTTCCCATGGACATTTTAATAAGGAGGCATTAGAGGCTTGTCTTCACATGGTGAAACTAATGGACGTGCTTGTGGCACTCGTAGCACCGATGATGAAATGGTGAAGGTTCCGATCTACTTGTATGTGGCTAGTAATGTCGTTACCAACCTTTAAACTTGTTGTAGTTAGAGAAAGCTTGTGGGTTGAGAACTTGAATTAGCAAAGTTCATCATGGTATCATAGTTTAGTGTTTCTTGGTTTTTAACCGTGAAAAAGCTTAGAGATGGAACGATGAGTTAGGAACTGGTTTTTAGCTCAAATTTTCATAGACAACACTATTGATGAGGTCATGAACCTTAAATGATGAAGTTTGATGATGTGATTTTTTTTTAGCTAGTGTAGTAGTAAAGTTTGATGGTGGATAAAGACCAACTTAGTTGGAAATTCTATAAAACAAGATCCAATATCGTGTTGGAGGACCCTCAAATGACTAAGTCAACATATGAAGGGAGATAGTTGCTTGAAAAGGTCAATGCATAAAGGGAGATGGTTACTTGAAAAGGTAGTGATGCAAGTATAAAGGAATGATAAACAATGGTTGCCAGTTAAAGAGATTTCGAACCTAGAACTTTAAGTCATTTGGTTGTTTATATAGCTAAAGTCCTTGTCAAATTATATAGAAGGAGTAAGATAGTCTATTTTCTTATTGCTATTCAATATTGATTCCGATGAGAGAATAAGCATATTTGATGTTGATGGATTACTATTGAATAAACATAATGATGTCACAATTGTTGTTAATTAGACAAAAATGACCATGGGAATGTGTCTTTATCTAATGAATGTACTTTCCGGTTTTTTGGTTGGTAGAAATAGGTGCAAATCATCAATGGTTGGCATATTGCCTAAGATGGCTCTAACCATTCATCTAAGGATTGTCCGTATGGTATTGGTACTTTTGAAATAGTCCTAGGACTTCAAACTTGTTCTAAGATGAAGTGTTCGTGATGCGAGTCTTGGTATCTTTACGTATCACTTTTAATTAGATCCACATTTTTTTTTTAATATATCAATAACTACTAAAAATTGATATCTATTTTAAGTAAATGATAGATTGAACTATTTTATTAATTTATTTTTCACTAACTACTTTACACAAATATGCAATCGCAATGATCTACCGGTTGAGGTTTTTAGAACTAACCATCCAAATCCCACATCAAAACAAGTTTTATTAAATTAAATTTTCAGAACAAAATTTCATATAAATCGGGCATCAATTGATCTTGCAATCATCTAACTTAAAAAGCCTATAATTTCTTTTCTTTTTGTCTCACTCACTCATGGCAATCCTCCGTGACAAAGTCAAAAGTAGTTTTTTTATGCACCACCAAAACCTTCGTCCTTATTTTTTTCTTTTTACCTTCCCAGTATAGATATTCTTTTTCTTTTCCTTTCTTTCTTGTTGGGGCCGGTCCCCATTTGAATCCCTTGTTAATGAGACTATAGGAAAGAGTTGTACATGAATTATTAATTTAATGAAAATGCATGTTTGTAGAACCAACAACCATGCAAAAAGTAAAATAGCCCCAAAAGTGGGTTCAAGTAGTAAAGAGATAATTAGTGATTTTTGAGCAACTAGTTGCTTGTTTGTCGATATAAAATGTATAGGTTCAGAAACCCCCAACATCCACATTATATGGAGCATTATTCTATGCAAACCCTGATCCATCTATTTTACTGAAATTTCTAATTAACATGGCTTGTTTGGTTAGTAGAAGAAACCGAGCAAGCACCTAGTTGCTCCAAACAAGCCATTGTGACATTCTTCAGAAATTGTGATATGCCATAAAAGTCAAGGCCCCAGATAAATTTGATTTTAGACGATGGTTTTGCATAGTATTGCCTTATAGAGCAGTGTATATAGCAGGCATCATTCCATTTTTTACAATATTCTAGCTTACATTGTATCTTAGACGAGTTTCAATAGATGGATTGAGTTTTTGCTAACGATCATGCATAAAAATTAAATAGATTTTCGTTTTGAGAAGTTAATTTTATACCTAGTGATGACTGTAGTTTTATGTGTCATGTGAGCAGAAAACTTCCATAAATGGGAGCCATTGAATTAGCAAGCCCTTTGAGTGATCTAATTACCCCTAGTGATTAAATAAATTAACATGACCATCAGCAACCTGACCCGATCCTCCTGAGGACATTGACTTTGATGATTAATTAATTAAAGAGGTGTTCCTTTCTTAATTATCATAGTTCAAACTTGGTGTAAGATTGAGATAGATAATTTTTTCACAAACATCTTCTCTACTCTTGATACTATTTCTTCGTAATATATATATATATATATATAGACCCAGCTATTACAACTCTGATGTTGCTTGCTGCTTTTTTTTGTTTTGCTGCTTAATTTGGAATAATCACACCATGCTTGAGGTTGTACATACAAACAACCTGATAAATTCGATTTTAGAAAATTGTTACGCTGTTTTGCTGTATAAATCAATGTGACGGAACTTGATGTTTTCTCTATGGGGAAGGAGGGTGGAGGTTTACGTACAAGTAAAAAAAACAAAACAAAAAAATCACGATTCATTTAAATGATGGATATGTTATCTCTTTTACATTTTTATTATTATTCTTAAATATTATGCTATTGTTCATGAAAAAAAATAATTTTACTGTATATTTTAAAAAATGAGTTCTGTAAGTTAAATTTTAAGTTTAGAAGATTCTTTAATATGATATCAAAGCTTCAATAAATTTAAATTTTTGTATTGAGATATTATTTTTAACAAATACACAGGTTAGTATTAATTAGTAGTTAATGGGAAAAAGAAACCCTAACACTTACATTACCATGATAGCTAGGAACTAAGCTGATCACCAATGCAAAATTGAATAATTAATTAGTATTAATAAATGTAAATAATAAAAAGTATGAGAGGACGAACAAGCACCTTTAGAAAGATACAAGTTGAGTGACTAACAAGTAGGTGATTAAAGTCTAAACAAGTAGAGCTTTTGGTAATGCTTTATATGTGAGTTAAAAACATTTAAGAGAAGAGAAAGAGATCAACAGTTCAAAGATTTTGCTAAAGATTAAAAAGTTAAAATCTACTCACAATTCATAAACATTCAACACTCCCTTCACAAAGTTTATGTTGTGACCAAACACTTGTCTTTGCTGACCTCGAACATCAATCCTGCCTTGCGAAGCATTACTGGCTGCAGCCTCCTTTTGCACTCAAACATGAGATAGTATGATTAAGATATTTATTACAACTATATGTTTACGAACTTCATGGTATCTGAAAGAATTATGGTACTCATATTTCTAATGTTATTACTCTAAATAACTATTCACAAATTGCAGGCATATGCTTTACCAATGCCATAACTACCAAAACCAAATTACCAAACACAATTCGATCTGTGCACGTCTCACCTAAATACCAACCTAGAAAGCTTAGGGGCTTGATAAACAGCACAAGAGGATGTGATTTCGAGCATCAACTGGGTTGGAAAGCAAAAGGTCTAGTATGATTGTCCATGTACATTGATTCATGCACTGCACACTTAGGGCTTGTGTATTATCCACGATATAAGCAGACATATCATAGAGGGATGGTTGAGCATTTCTCAAAATCAAAACTAGTATCAAATCAAGTAGTTTACAACTGCATGTGCAGGCTTCCTCCATGCAATGGCATGTACAGAGGGAGAAACTAAACCCTTGAAGTAAAAGAAAAGCATTACAATCTAATAGGATTGCAGGTAGCTGCTTACTTGTTACTTGAGAACTTGCCAGTATCAAAGTGGTACATTCATCAGTTAACCAAAAAAAAAAAAAAAAAAAAAGAAGAAGAAGACTTCAAATTCCCTGAATGGTGATGTTAAAGTAAAAATATTGCATTAGAGAACTTCCCAAGAGAAAGTTACATGTGAAGGAGATAAAAGAATGAACAACCAACAACAAAAGCATAGCTACAAAGGAAAATGAGATTTATACACCTTTACATACCAGACAAACAACTAAGTTGTCACTTTCCAACAAATCTATCTGCATTTGATCTTGCATTTTCCAATGCTGCTGCAATAATGAAAATTTTAGCTAAATGATTAATTTTGTAGACAGATGGAAAGTGTATATAAATTGTTGAGAGCCTAACAAATGAGACCCAATCTTTTTTTTTTTTTTCAAAGAGCCAGTGGTATTATGGAATAAGTCTTTTAAGTAGATCGGAATCTTGTTCTGCTATCTTATAAGGTTCTGTGTCAGTAGTTAGGCCACGGTCATTTGGTTCGAGAAAAATATGTCAGGTTATCCTCAGATATGTGTTATATGATTATTTTATGAAGCACTTCCGTGTCCTGATCACTGAATCTGAATGGCATAGAATTTTTACCCAAGAACTTTAGAGCAGTCTTGATTAGGCTAAACAACTTCCAAACTCTATAGGCCAAATAAAAGCCCCCCGCATTACATTATGTGAGGATCCAGTTGCTAACTGCGCCCCCCCCCCCCCCCCCCCATCTTTATGTTACATTTTGGTAATACCTATCTTTTTTCTTCCTTGGCTGCTGAACGATAGAATTGTTATTTATCCAACGACTTGTTTTTCAAAATTAGATCTATATTGCAAAAAGTAAAATGAAATATAGAGCAACTGAATTGCTCATCTAAGGTAGAAATTTGAAAGCCTAAATTTTGGAATTTAGACAGCAAAAATATTGTTAGGTATTCAGATTGTAGAGATCCATTGTATGGAAGGTTAAAGATATGGTTAAGAAACTATTTCCTCTCTTCCAGTGATTTTAACAAGGAGATGAGGCTCACATACCTTACTGATGCGAGTTGCTCACGTGTACAGTCCATTCAAAGAGTGGCTTCAAAAAGTTGCTTGCCCTTAGTTGGCATAGACGTTCAACCTCACCTGAGCAACAACTTCTGGGTGAAGTTTAAGTTCAGCAATATATTCTCCTGTTTCCCTGATTTCTGGAAGAGAAACAATCCGCTTGTCCACATCCCTATGGATCGATGAAGAAAACAGTAAGCAAAAAACAGGGGCATGGAAGATGTGTATATGTGTGCATGCAATCACACAGATGCACACACCTATGTGGGAACACATTCCTGGTGTGAACTGAACTGTCATTGGGTTAAGAACACACTATTTGTATCCTGATGCCTAAACTATTGCCCAAATAGTACCAGAGGATTAAAAAAGAAACAGACTTAATGAGTAACGTGAAAAAAATCCATCCCATATCGTATACCTCAATACTATTATAAGCTCAGATGGTATATATTTGGAAGTTCCAATGGAATGGCTAGCAAATTGAAAGTGACCAATAAAGGTATACAAGGACTGTCTTTCTAGATTCCATTTGACAGGCTATTTTCTCTAACTTTTGGTTTCAGGACATCATAAATTATCAACAAATCTTTTCTCGTAATGGAATAAAACTAACCGTAACATGGACTTGTTCACATGTTTACCTTTCCTAAAAGGCAGACAAACATTTAAAAATCAACACTTTAACATGGAAGAAGTTGCTTCTTTTTGGCGGAATGGTGGTGGCTATGGTGTCCTCAATTACAAAATAGTTATTCTAATCATAATTCTAAGGTTCATGAATAATTTCATAATTACGGAACCTGTCTTAATATTTTGATATAAGAAATGCATTTGTTTCCTGAGTTACTGATATATTGCCAGGGTCAATTTACAATACTCATGAAGAGGTAATTGTCTGCATGCTGGTGAGTCTGCATAGAGTGGAAAACAGTACCTCTGAATCTGAGCCTTGATTATGTCAACAAGATCTTGAGAAGTTACACTGCCAAAATACATTCATTTAGACAAGATATGCAAACAACAAATTATGAATAACATAAGAAATGAAATGTTGCACTGGATTCAACTCACGTCCCAAATATCTGTTTTCCCTTCCCCCTTTGCGCTTCACCTTGAATGCTCCAACAGTTTCAAATATGAGTGCAAGTTGCTGTGCCTCTTCTTTCACCTGCAGAAAGATAAGAATGATTGCAATTAAAAGAAGAGGCACCGAATACAGACAATTAATAGTGACATACATGTGCAACATTTCATTACCCGTTTTTTCTCAGCTTCAATTCTTTCCTCTTCCATCCGCATTTCCCTGGAAATTAATAGAATGCGATAAAAGTAGCATTGGATCAGGAAAAAAATAATTTTCAAACATAAAAAAATTTAACATATATACTTGTCATCTGGAAATTTTCATTAGCCATAAACCTCATGCAAAACTTGTATGCTTATGACGTGCAAGCTGAATTCTAAAGCTCTTGCATATAGGCTCAATCTGTAGATTCATCACTATGTGAAATACTTTTGAACCCCTCAACTACAAACGTTTCCACAAGGCTCCAATCCAACTTCCAAGGTAATTTACTGGCCAATGTAATTGAAAAAGAAAAAAGATCCAAGTGTGATATTGATGCTCATCCACAGTGCCTGCTGAATATCCATTGATGCTTACAGTGAAATAAATCACACATTGAAGTGAAAATAATAGGGTACACTGCAAGAAACAGAGAACGACGTAACCAAAGAGTTCTATGGATCTTTCATGCCAACAGTGTTAAGGCTCTTGATACTAGAGCAAACCAGATGACACGAGTGCATAAAAATAAACCCTTTTTCACTGATGTGCAAATTACCAAAGCACATGGAACATTTTTGCATTGTACCCAAAATAATATGATTCTCCTTGTTATGACAAATAATTAAAGGTAAAGGCACAACATCTTACTTCAAGTAAATTGTGTGGGAACATTTGGTGGGCAGATTTTTCAACCAGTTTTGCAACAAGTTATTGGAGATAGTTTTCTTAAGAAATGGATAATTGAGAAGTATCATATCTTAAAGAGTTTAATAAAACAGGTAAGGACCATCACACATCTGGTACAATAAGCCACATCTCCCAAAAGTAAATGTCCTCGAAGCCCAAACAGTACCCTTTGTCTTATGGTGTTTTCTTATTACTTTCTAATCAAATCTCCACTGTCAGAAATGAGAAGCTATAAAAGTTCTCTGGACACGTGATACAATATGAGGAGGTCAACTAACATTTTATAAACTTAAGTTAAATTTTTTTTATTTTTTGTTTGGTGGCAGGTTTTTTATGAAATTCACAATTTCTTACATACACCAAAAAGAATAAGGCAAATTAATAAGGAAATCCAGCAGTAAAAGCATACCAAAACCCAGTTGTTGGATGACGTTGGCACTAATCAAACAAGCTTCTAGGTAGACCACATTTGTATATCAATTCACAGAGTTAAAAAAGGAGTGAACGAAACTGATACATGATGGCAAAGCTTTCCTATATATGTTATATTTTGACTCCATCATTCAAGTTTTACCAGCTTCTTTATTCTTTATCCGTCTTTCTTCCTTTCATCAAGGTTATATTCACTATTCCTCTAAGAAGTGTCATGGGAAGGGTTAAAAGAACTAAGTGCTATTGAATTGTGGGAATGGTCATGGTTTCTTTTTTCTTTTTTCTTCCTATTTTTCTCCAAACAGGAATGTGGAAAACAGGAAAAGATAAAGGGAACCACAAAGCAGCTCAACTTAACTATACTTCAGTCCCCATTAATTGAGTCAGCGACATTGATCTTCCTCCACCACTCAATTGCAAAAATCACAGATTCTAAAGATTTCTCAAAAGTCCACTCTGGTTATAGTTTCCATAGATGAGTTTTCTTCATGTTTATGTTCTACCCTCCACAATTGCCAAGAAAAGGAATGCCAGTTAGACAAAGTTTTTCATGCAAGCTATAATGGATGTAAGGAGTAAAAGAGATGCTTGTTAAGTTACTGGAGGCTTCTTGCTATCAGATCATCGATATGGTGAACCACGCTTTAGCCGAAAACCATGTCTCCCTGTCAAATCTAGATGGGTGAGGTGCATTACAATGTATTATCTATTCCATACCAGGAGTAGCACCATCACATTTTCAGAGGGATATTCAAGCTTAAACATTTCTTACAATTTCCACTGACATCTGCATGGGCCACCTGATGCATCACATGTTCCCGGGATGTACACTTTTAATCAATATATTTAATCCATTGATATCTCATTCAAATTGAAAAATGGGTAAGTTTATTTTCTCCAACAAATGCATGATAAGTTTCTCTCAAGGTACTACTTATATGGAAAAAGCAAAAACAATCAAAACAATATTCAAATAATTCAACACAAAACTTAAAACATAGAAATATCAATGTATTGGTCAAGTTAAACCTTACTTGAGAAAACCGGGAGTGACAATCTGAGCCTTGCCTGTGGGCAGCAGAAAATTCCTGTAATAGCCAGCCTTGACTTCAACCAATTGTCCTTTCTTTCCCAAATCTGCCACATCCTGTTTCAATATTATCTAGCACAACGATGCAACCCATTAATTAAAAAGATTAAAAAAAAAAATGGCTCTCTCTTTTGGGAACCAAAAAATGCTAAATGAACATACGAAGACTGAATATTTCTTTCAAGAAGCCACAATTTAAGGGAGAATAAAAAGAACTCAATTCAGGTTATGCAATTTCATCGCTACCTTTCTTGTTTTGGTGGCTTTCTTCTGAGCGAGAACCAGCATGGGCATTCTTTTGTCTCGTAATTTGGAGATTTCATTTGTGGGTCCAGTAAAGCTGTGAAGCCAAGAAGAAGAACTCCATGAAAGAGTTGCTGCTGTAGATGGTGATGCCATTTCTTCCACACACGAAAAGCCTTCTTTGCTCTGTCCCACTGGGTCTTATCCGTTGGGCACTTGGGCTCAAAAGAATCGACTTGCAAGTTTGTGCTTTTGTGTTGTTTTGGTCCTCCTTATATGTATATGAACTACAATGGTATCGCTTCGTTTTCGAATTGCATTAATGCCCTTATTTTATTTTTGTACCACTCATTACCTACTTTTGAAATTTAGTTAAATTGATCCTTTGACATAATTTTAGTTTCAAATTGATCCTCTACATGATATTTCTCTGGATGAATATTTAATTACAAAAATCAAATCATAGTTTTGGAACTCGATTCAATTCATTCTTTATTGATGGAATGTCATTCCTTTCTCTTTTTCGAAAGAAGAAATTCAACGCATTAGATAGATTCCATTTATTTTTTCAAGCCCATAATTCATTTTTATAGCATTTTCGAGTTAGTTTGGCATGATTTATGGAAAGTAATTTTTTATTTTAAGATGTGATCCAATTTTATATATAATTTATGACAAAATTGAGTTGAATTGGAAGTATGATTAGGAGAAAAAAAATGATGCAAAAGAACTGTTTTGATAAGAGAAGTATAATAAACTAGAATCCATTGGTTAAAGTGAAAGTTTTTAACTCACTGTGATTAAACCAAAAATTTGACTCATTTTATAACAATTTTTTAACTTAAGTGAAAAGTTATTTCTAACCGAATCTATTTTTATTTTTTAAGTTAAAAATTAAAAGACAATTCACATCAATTTATAAAAATTATACCAAACAACATTTTAGCTTCTTAATGTTATCCTTTTACCTATAATTAATGTCGGGAACGTGAAGGGAAAAAACATATATATATATATATATATATATATATGGAAGTAATTATAGCATAAAATGACTTTTTATGGTGATTATTTTGAAATTTTTTAATATTATTTATATGTAAAATTTAGTGAAAAAAAAAAAGGTTTTGTTTCACTTAACCTCAATAGTTTTAATGGTTTAGGAGGTTTGTTATGTAACATCCTCAACCTAAGACCTAAAGTGGATCAAGATTATTACCGAAAATGTCTAACATTCGAAGTGCGATGAATACAAGACACGAAGCATCATGACTTTTACTATTTTAAAGTAATTAATGTTTACAGTGGAAGTCCCTTAATTTAAAAGTTTAAGTCCATGCTTTTATTCATCACACTCTAATTATAAATTTATTTTATTAATCTTTTAAAGATAATTCACTAATAATCTTCATTTAAACTCAACACAGGAAAACATAATTTGAGATCTCCTAATGAAATATTTTTGGTCGAATCATACTTGTGTAAAATAAAAACTAACTTAGTCTTCATAAAACATATTAAGTTGTACACAACATTTTTGAAAATATACAACGTTTCGAAATTTACATATGAAAACATATTACGTAATAATAATATTAAAACCATTTAAAGTCTACTCATTTTCATTTTATCAAATCCTTTGTATTTTAATCCTTCTCTTAAGAAAGACTAAATAATTCACTTAATCTTTTGAATACTAATTTAATTTATAATTTGATCCGACCATTTAATTAACTTATACTAATAAAAACCATTTAATATTTTTAGTCATTGACCTTTTATTAATTTGACTTTTAATTTCTATTTAATTAACTTAACTCCTTGTCTAATTAACAATTTACCCGCCAAATCAACTAATTAAAAAACATCTTAAAATATTTGTTTACTCATTTATTCATGATCCAAATTTAAAAAAATTACCTAAATCATTTAAAATGGAATGAGTTAAACTCGTATTAATTTTTACAAGTACACTTTGGCAAGCTATTGTAGCACCTTTCCTTCCGCCTCATCATCAACTTTACTTTGAGTCTTTATATGTTCCTAAATACCAACACCACAAGACAACTTGATGAGCTTACGCTCGGTAAGTGTAGTTATGTATGCATGTCATGTAATACACGATGCATAATGCTATGAAAATACATTTTTATGACTTTGAAATATATTTTACGTAATCTAGTATACCATATATATTTATATATATTTGGTTATCCATAAAAACCTTGTCCGTAAAAACAATGAAAAGCACTAGACATGTCCCTTGTGAGGCTTGTGACGTTCACAATTATGAACCATAATTGAACTCGTGACTATAATGCCCATAAAGAGTTGATCATTCTCTTTGTATGTCATAATTCAGCCTACGATCGTAATTAGGACATGCTTAGCTATTTTTTGAAAATCCATGCACTTAATTTTGTCTTTGAAAACATGATTAAAACCATTTCATGACGTGAATTCATTCATCAACAAGATACATGATCTATAAATTTTAATTAGGCATGTAGGTTGAAATCAACTATCCATGAATCACATGAAATTTATTCATGAAGCATTGAACATTACATACCAAATACTTTCATAAACGTTTTTACATGAACAAACAGACAAACCATCAAAATGGCCATTAGGCCAAAATTTTCAATCTCCATGCCATGACCAATTTTGACATAAAACCAATTAATTATCATGACATTTATTCATGAGGCATTGAACATTGCATACCAAATAATCATGTAACCAATAACTTGCACAAATATCACATAAGATAGCAAACACATCAACACTTACAAAGTGTTCATCTTGACCGAAACTATCAAGAACCAACCAAAAGCAACAAATTTGTATTAGCCATAATCAAGTATGAAACCAATCAGTTTTGATTTAAACATATCATCATTCAACGTAAATTCACCAACATTAACATGATTATCATTAAACACATAAAAATCTTGCCAATTTACTAACAATTTCAAATTTGACATTTCTTTCCCCAAAATCAAGATTTGATCAACATATATAAACAACCAATATTTCATCAATTCAACAATTTAAAGGTTTCTAAATCTTTTTTAAGCATAATTCCATCCCTAACCCATTGATTCAACACATCCAAAAATCATATTTAAACTTCAAATACATAATTTATGCTCATTTTTCAAAAGTTATCCTATTTTCGATAAGCTTCGTTTCGGGATGGCCTCTAAACAAGTAACAATAGCTCTATTTTTTAAATATAATTAGAATCCATCCTTTTAATAATAATAACTAGCCATTTTACTTCAAAACATATTCAAAAATTAAATCCAAATACCAAACACTTGATTAATACTATCATTTTAAAGTTTAAGAACTAATATGTCCAAGTGCCATATCTTCTAAAATAATCTATATTTAAATGGGTATAACTCTTCATAAACAAAACTAATATCAAAACCATTTTACAAAAACTCGGAGGAGATATAGATCAATAACTTTCATTTTTATAACTTTGCTAAAAAATTACTCTAAGACCCATGAACAAGCGAGTACAAAATTCGAACATAACCCAAACCTTAAAAACACTAATTCTTATGTTTTCTAGCTTCTAATTCATGTTTCTTACCAAAATTTATCAATCAAACACTTTTAAATAACTTAAATAATTCTAAAGAACATCTAATTAACCTAAAATCATGAAAATCAACCATTTTCCCAAAAATTCTCCATTTGGCCTAAACTTTCTCCATCACTAGTACCCAACTTTAATTCATCAACCCAATTTCAATTAAATTATCAAACACGATCAATCGACCATCATAAACATGATTTCGATCACAATTTATCTTAATTAATCAATTATATCAAAAACCCAAACAATTGAATAATTATTCACCAATTCTATATCTTCAAAACTTTAACAATCAAGCATCAATTTAATACTTTCTTGTGATGTAGTAAGGACTACACTTGTCTTCCTTGGTTGCTTGAAGTTTCCTCCTCCTCCTCCTTCTTCCTCGATGTTTCGACCAAACCTCCCTTTTTTTCTTCCTTCTTTGTTTGATCTCTTCAAGTGTTTCTAAATTGTGTTTGGGGTGTCTCTAAAGTATTTTGGGTGGTTTTAGGTTGTAGGTAGGCTTAATTTGTCTTGAATTTGCCTTGAGCTCAACTTGATCTTTCTTGAGTTTTCAAGTTTCCACTTTCCACCTCCCTTCTTCTTCCTCTTTTTACCAAATTTACAGAGGAGGATTTCCTTGTGATTTTACTAAGTGTGGCACACTTACATTAATCCCTCATTCCTTCATTTGATGCCTCTCTCTAGAATTCTCTCCATTTCTCTATTTCTTTCTTTTCTCTCTCTCTCTATTTCTCCTTTCTTTGCCGACATACCAGCCCCTTTTTCTCTTTGTTTTTCCAGTTAAAATCTGGATATAAAGTGCCAATTCCTGCTGAATTAATTGGTCTCTCAATTTGTCAAAATTTTATAGCTTGGTCCCTAAACCTCCTTAATTATTTCAATCGAATCCTTCAATTTTTCAGTCCCTAATCCTTCAATTTTTCACAATCTAACCCTTATTTAGGCTTTTTCCTAATTTATAGTAGTCATTTATATTTTCTAATAATTTTAATTAAGCACCCAAATCTTTTAATTGTACCAATTAAACTCCTAAAATCTTACAATTACACCTTTAAATTATTATAACCTCAACAATTAACCTTATAACTTACTAAATCAAGCATTAAATAATTTATTTACCTCTCATAATATTCATGCATGCATTAATTTACTTTCTATGCAAGCATTAATTATCAATTCGTTTATTAAGTAAATATTCATATATTAAATAATAAATTAATTATTCCTACAACATATTTATACTCAACAAGGTTTTTAGATTAAGGATACTGCATGTGCACTTGGGATCAATATTCCGAAAAATGCACTAAGACAATATGTGGGTGCACCTTTATAATTATCAAAAAAGAGAACAATTCATACATAAACCGATTCAAGAATATCTCAAATTGTCGTATCAGGAAAAAAATCACTTCATATTATTCATACAACTATGATAATTAAACTATTTAGTTCTATATTGTACTAATTTAATTTTTTTCTTGAAAGCTTTTTTTAATATTAAAATTAATAAAGTATTAACATGTATTATTTTAATGGTTAATGACTCAATTTGTCTTGTATAATAAGTAATTTCTGTTTACTTGAATACACTTTAAATTTTTAATTTATTTTTTTTATAAAATTTTAAGATCAAGTGATCACCATAATTAATTTGCGAAACCAGACAAGTGGAATGAAACTAGCTCGTAGTATTAATCCCACAGATTTTGCCCTTTTGCCCTCTCTTCTTGCCCCTCCAAAAAAAAAAAAAAAATTACGTACATTGCTATAATTAAGAAACAGCCAACAAAATGAAAATTACAGCTGTTGCCCAAACAAAAATCAATTACAACATTTGCTGCACCCATGCATGCATCCAGTAGTACGAAATTTTCAAGGATATGGATAAGTTGTTAATTGCTAAATTTCATTTGCCCGCAAGATAACTTGAGATGTCTTACTCAGACACATGCAAAGGCGCAAATAAAAAGAATTGGTCTAGCTAGTCTTATATTTACACATACAACCCCATTTTTATTTGAACCTTTCAACTCTGGCGTGAATGTTGACGGCAAGAACATGACCACCTGGATCAGTAAATTATTCTTTGAGAAGGAAAAAAAAAAAAAAGATAATGACGAGATAAAAGAAAGAGAAAGCTGGACATATAATGTCTAACATAAGATATAATAGATAATTTATAAGTAAATGGTTTCTTTATTACTATTTTAATTTTAAATTTCATGCCAACTTCTCTTAACCACTTTCTTAGGTTGTCTTAACGTGAGACTGGTAAGATATGAGGGAGGTCGTATGTGGGGATGAATGAAATGCATGAGTTGACTTGCAGCTTAAGCTCCTTCGTCTTTATATAATCCCTCATTTATTGACATTTTTTTCTTCCTAAAGAAATCCATGATCCAATCTTGCAACTAAAGTTTAGATACTAAAGGCAGATTTGAGAAGAGAAGCAATTAGGGTTTTTTTGAAAATGATTTCTGGGGACTCTTCTTGCTTCCCTAGAGTGCCACAAGGCTTGCATATGTATCAAGGTGTGACAGAGGATGTTGCTTCTTCAACTCTTGAAGCAAGTTCCAGTTCAGATACTCACTCAAATTCTCTTCTCTACAATCTCTCCCTTCTCAAAGACAAGGTTCATCAACTGCAGTCATTGGTTAGCATCCTTATCTCACCAGATCAAAGACAGCCTCACGAGTCAACTTCTATAGCCTTAGCCAGCATGAGCTCCATGATTCAAGAAATAATTGTTACTGCATCTTCAATGATGTTCACTTGCCAACAGATTGGTATTGGTAACGATTCAGGCAATAATGTTAGCACAGATAACTTGCACCAGCTGCGTGCCCGGAAGGCTGCAGAAAGTTCCTTGTTATCACAACCAAATTTTGGTGGCAATCACACTGGTGACATTGGCCAAGAAAGAGTGCAAAGCTTCTTCTCTTCCGAATCGTTTGACTGGTACAGTGATCCTAACTATAATAATAGCTGTAATACTATTGACAGTAATCGGGGAATCCATGTTAGCAGCAACAATAGGGTGGATATCAGGAAAGAAATATTGTCTCAAGCGGGTGAAAATATTGGTGAAGGTTCCCAAGGGGAACTGCCGAAGAATTGTGATATTATCGAATTGGATGCAGCGGATTTATTAGCTAAGTACACTCATTATTGCCAAGTTTGTGGAAAAGGGTTCAAGCGTGATGCTAATTTGAGGATGCACATGAGAGCTCATGGTGATGAATACAAGACTAGTGCTGCTTTGATCAATCCGATGAAGAACAATACAAGTGCCACTGAAAATAAAGAAGCTTCAATGAAATTGCCTAGGAAGTATTCGTGTCCACAGGAAGGGTGTAGGTGGAACAAGAAACATGCCAAGTTCCAGCCATTGAAGTCCATGATTTGTGTCAAGAATCATTACAAGAGGAGCCATTGCCCCAAGATGTATGTTTGCAAGCGGTGCAACAGGAAGCAATTCTCGGTGCTGTCTGATCTAAGGACTCATGAGAAGCACTGTGGGGATCTCAAGTGGCTGTGCTCTTGCGGTACAACATTTTCAAGGAAAGATAAGCTTATGGGTCACGTTGCCTTGTTCGTTGGGCACACTCCAGCTATAAGTGGTTTGACGAAACCTGCAAAAATCGAGAACCAAGCAATGCAAACGAAGTCAGATCATGATAGGTAAATAAATATTAGGCTTTTCTTAATTTTTCCTTTATAGCTATACTATGTAATAAATAATAAGATGATTACATATAGTACACACAATTTATTAATTTCTTGGTAATTTAATTTTCAAGTTGATAAATAGTATGATTAAGCCAACAATTGTTGTATCATGGCTAGCTAGCTAGGCACATTTAATTTAGGAGTAGGCTTTAAATGTTTTCTTGCCAACGTGATTACTGATTATCCTTTTATTTATGCACATTTGCTATATTTTAGGGGATGAGGAAGCAACTACTATATGAATGGAAGCTGCCTTTTGTGGGAATTCGTGTCCGTCAGAAAAATGGCCTTTGTTGGACATGATTTAGTTGCGATCGATGCCTAGCTCATATTGTATATTCATGCGTGACGGTTTGTCTTGAATTAAAGTCATCTAGTTCGAAGTATATATGTAAATGCATGTATTTGCATGTTGTGATGAACAATGTAATAGCATGTCCTTCGAAAATACAGTAACTCCTATATATGAATAATGATCAGTTCTACTGAACTCAATTTGCATGCTCGACCATGCTCGACCATGACCATACAAGCAATACCCACACACACATATCTATATGCACCAGTTCATTCTAGCTTCTTTTCTAATTCTATTTTCCATTAGTTTCTTTTTCCGAGTGCTGAAAACTTCCCCTGGCTTTTACGATGAAATATACATGAGATTAACGAGCTGGCTAGTAGTTATTGTCTCCACTGCCGAAAAATAAAGGAAAACTCAAGTAGCTGGCCAGTAAATGTAATGTTGCCTGATGAATAGTACTCGTGAAAGTGGTTGACTAGTGATAATCGGGACAAATAAACAAATAAGAAAATATTGAGATATCCGATTGCATATTTTTGTAGCGATATTGTATTTATACGTAGAGTTTTGGATAATATAAAAAAAATCACTGTCCCTTATAACACCGAAAATATATACAACAATATAGAAAATAATAATATAAAATATAATGGAATACTTATAATTATGATATAAGAAAATACTTATGACTTAATGTATCCTCTCAAGTTGGGAAGGATAAGGAAGCCATAGGAAATTTGGTAGTAATTAAGCAGAAGAAAGCGAAAAATAGCTAGAGGTTTGATAAGGATAGCAACAATTTGATTTTGAGAGGAAATGAACTTAGCATGAAGAAGACCGTTACTTGATCTTAGATAAAATATATATTAATTAGGACCGGAGGAATGAGAAGAAGTAAGCAAGGCATAAAGATCAGCATCATTTAATCCTGAAAGTATTGGTGTCTTGTATACCCAGCCTTTTAGACAAAAAGCAAAAGGTGAAATTTTCAAAATATATTATTATCATGGGCTAATCGTTGAACATAAAGTAAAGATTTTGTGATATGAGGCTCATGTAAAACATCTAATAAAGTAATCGATTTAAAAAAAGTACGGATGTGCACTACACCAAAAAGGAAGATTTGCAAAGGGAATTTAGTGACGGTCTAAAAATTGTCTCTAAATAACGAAATTTGCGACAATTTAAAGAAATTTTGGGAGGGAAAAAAAATTTTAGCAATCGTTTTTTACGACGGACTACATTAACCGTTACTAATTATTAAATGTAAGCAAATTTATGACTGTTTTTTAGCCAAAACCATCGCAAAAATTCAAATTTTGAAGTCCGTCGCTAATCTCATCGGTAAAATACTCTCGTTGGGGGGAAAACGGCTATTTTTAGCCGTTTGCGACGGAGTCCATCACTAAAAAGAAACCCTTTCTTAACCCACTCGCCCGCATTTCTTTCCCCATTTTTCTCTTCTTCCTCTCTTCTTCTCCTGCACTTTCCAGCATCGATTTGCCCCTTTTTTACTTCATTTTGCTTCCAATCTACTCCTCTCTCTCGTCCTTCTCTTTCTCCCCTCAATTTCTCCCCTTCCTCCCACTTTTTCCTTCATTTTTCTCTCTTTCTTCCCCCTTCTTCAACCTCCGGGATTTCGGCCAATCCACCTTCGGCGAAGCTCCTCCACTCGTGCGGCCTCCTATCCTCCTTGTATGGGTGAAAGGTCCTCCCTCATCTAACCCCTCAATTAATTTTTTAATTTTTTGCATTTTTTTTCATAATTAGATGTTAAATTATTTTGTTAATTCAATTGTTAATGTTAATGATAATTGTTAGTGTTAATTATTAATTATGTAAGTGTTAATTGTGTTATTGGTTAGTGTTAATTTTTATTCTTAATTTAGTGTTAATTGTTAATTTAGTTAATTTATTGTTAATTTTAATTTTGGTATTGTTATTGATAATTGTTAGTTTATATAACTAAATATAATAGTGTTAATTGTGTTAGTTTAATTGTTTAATTGTTAAATAAAAATTTGATTGTTGTTATTATTAGTTTCATTGTTAATTTGTCAACTTAATTGGTAAATTTTAATTGTTAATTAAGTAATTTTTTGTTAAATATTGTTAATTATTAATTTAGTTAGTTTAATTTATGATTTTTTGTAATATTAATTAATTTTAAAAATTGATAATCATTTTATAAAAAAAATCAATTACAAAATTATTATTTTTCTAAATAATATTTGGTAATAGGAAAATTAATTAGTAATTAAGTTTATTTAATTCATTGTTGATTAAGTAAAGAGTAAAGTAATTACAAAATTAAGTAGTTATAAAAAATTTTAATTATTTGTAAAATACATTTAGTTATAAAAAATTTAATTAGTGATTAAGTTTATTTATTTTTTGATTAGATTAAAAAAGGAATTAAATTTTTACATAATTAATTAGTGATTTAAAAAATAAATATTTTCCAAAATCTAATTTAGTTTTTAAAAAATGAATTAGTAATTAGGTTTAATTGGTTAATTTAGTTAATAATTAAGTAAATCACTTGGTAATTAATTTAGTTAATAAGTCAATAATATATTTCAATAAATTAGTTGTTCATTAAGTGAAGCACTTAAGTAATTACAAACTTAAGTAGTTATAACAAATTTTAACTATTTGTAAATTATATTTAGTTATATAAAATATAATTAGTGATTAACTTTATTTATTTGTTGATTAGATTAAAAAAAGAATTAAATTGTTACTAAATTAATCAATTTAGTTAATAATTTAGTAAATCACTTGGTAATTAATTTAGTTAATAAGTCAATAATATATTTCAATAAATTAGTTGTTCATTAAGTGAAGCACTTAAGTAATTACAAACTTAAGTAGTTATAACAAATTTTAATATAAAATATAATTAGTGATTGAGTTTATTTGTTTGTTGATTAGATTAAAAAGAGGAATTAAATTGTTACATGATTAATTAGTGATTAAAAAATTAATATTTTTTTAATCTAATTTAGTTTTTTAAAAATGAATTATTAATTAAGTTTAATTGATTAATTTAGTTAATAATTAAGTAAATCACTTGGTAATTAATTTAGTTAATAAGTCTATAATATATTTCAATAAATTAGTTGTTCATTAAGTGAAGCACTTAAGTAATTACAAACTTAAGTAGTTATAACAAATTTTAACTATTTGTAAATTATATTTAGTCATATAAAATATAATTAGTGATTAACTTTATTTATTTGTTGATTAGATTAAAAAAAGGAATTAAATTGTTACATAATTAATTAGTGATTAAAAAAATAAATATTCTTCGAAATCTAATTTAGTTTTTAAAAAATGAATTAGTAATTAAGTGTGATTTTTTAATTTAGTTAATAATTAAGTAAATCACTTGATAATTAATTTAGTTAATAAGTCAAGAATATATTTCAATAAATTAGTTGTTCATTAAGTGAAGCACTTAAGTAATTACAAACTTAAGTAGTTATAACAAATTTTAATTATTTGTAAATTATATTTAGTTATATAAAATATAATTAGCGATTAAGTATATTTATTTGTTGATTAGATTAAAAAAATGAATTAAATTGTTAAGATAGCATGGGAACGTCCGGCTTGAAAGCGTATTCCAATTTTATTTTTCATCTCAAGCAAGGCCCGAAGCCAAAATATAATTCATAGCACATATGGGATGCATGGCATGCAGAATTGGTAAAACCTAAGGCTATAGCCCGATCCGAGATGGCAACACGAAACCGTAGGAGCGAGATTAGTGGCATCGAAGCTCGGTCCTTCAAAGCATACGGGGGTCAATCAGCCACGGAGAGCATGCAATACGCTTGGTAAATGTATTTATATATAGTAATTTTTTTAGTGATTTCAATATAATTAATACATACACTTATTTCAAGGTGAGTTATTGGGTCGTGAACTCCGATTCGCACGAGGTTTTTAAAAGGATCCATCGGAAAAAGGTTGATGATCAATATATCTTCGTCGATCAACGATCAAGAATTATCAAAGTAAGCTTTTATTTTTTTACATCCTATCAAACATATTAATTTTTAACGTTATTTAACTGTTTAATATTTTGTATTTCACAATTATGCGGAGACCGTAGAAAGAATGATTGATGAGGAGGTTGCTAGCCAACGTACCGTGGGAAGTTCATAATTAGACATCAACATTAATGAGATATTTAGGACAACCGTTGGTGGAGGAGATAGTAAAAGGAAGATGATGTATGGACTCGGGTCACACGCATCACATTACCACTCCAACGTTAGTACATCCTCTAGTTCGGTAACTTTGCGTCACAATGTTGGTGATGAGGCATGACAAAAGGAGGGAGAGGATTGATATAGTCAGCTAAAGTCTATTGTCACATCGTTGGTGGAGACAACTAAAAGATTGGAGGAGTACGATCGATAACAATAAGCAATTATGACATAGATGCACCAATTTTTTATGCAACGAAATGCATTCAAGCGAGTTCATCCTTCATGCCTAACACCGACAATGATTCCACCCAACCTCTAAGTGAAGATCCTGCTGGTCAATCGTAGCTTATTATGTTTTATTTCTTGTTATAACAAAAAACCTTACGATGTTTATGAGAATTGATAATTTAATAAAATATTTTATATTTTAAATAA